GAGTATTGGGTGGCATATGGAAGAAGGATGTGGAGAGTATCTCTTTACAGTTCAGGGTGGACAGATTGGTTCATGGATGAACAAATTAAACAGATTTTGGATATACCGTTTTGTTGTGGCAATGTTGTTTCACAAATGGTAAGGGGTGCCTACTGTGTATTTAGTTTTCTCAATCTGAGGCTTTCTGCTGAAGACTATCTCCTTAGACTCCAAACAACTTACAGACTTGAAGACAGAGATGTAGATACTGTGCTCAACAGTTTGTACATGAAGTTTGGGCTAACAAGGCCTGTGTAGTGATTACAAAGACAGTACACATGATTTGCTGTGAAAAGACTGACTGCTAGAGCTTTCATGCTCATGCGCATGGCTACATCATTTATCAAGCATAAGCTTCTTTCATGCAATCCTTCACTATGTGTTTGCAAGGCATTGCATGTGTCATTCATAATGTTTTCATGTGTGGGACCAATATCAAAAGCTTACCAAATATAACTCTATGACTAGAACTGCAAGCACTTTTGTCAAGCAGTGTATGTCAATTGGTTTAAGTTTGCACTTAGTGTTGGTGGCTCACAGTTTGTTGCTGTGTCATCCTGTTCACAACATGCACATGCAATCATGTGCTAAGCCTTCAAGCTTGTGGTTTGTGTTCATGTCAAATTCATCATCATATGCTATAGGCCCACAAGGCCTCACATCATGTGTGTCTTTTGAAGTGTTGGCATTTTCAAGTGTTACACGCACCACCTTATCATGGCATACCATGTTTTAGGCTACACATTCAGCATTCTATGCCATGGATGCTAGGGCTTCCAAACTTAGAAGGTTGGAAGGCCTGAGGAGAAACAACCCTCAGATCACAGCAAGTGCGCTCTCAGAAGTGATTCAAGACATTGAACTCAATGGTCTTCCTGACCTACATTCCAGGAAACATGTGGCTGAAGCCAGAGACCACACAGTGAAAGGTTACAATGCATATGGACCTATGCTGAGTACTACCAATGTTGTTTGCAAGGATGGTGCAGAGAAGCCATTATTGTTTGTGAACTTTCTCACAATGTTACACGCTGCATATCAACAAGGTGGTGGACTGCAAGAGTTGGTGGCCAGGACACTGACCCAACACCCATGCACTGCACAAAAGCCCTGGAGAATCATATATTACAGTGATGAGGTGGTACCAGGAAATGTGTTAAGTGCAGATGTTAGCAGAAAAGTCCAATGCATATACATTTCCTTTATGGAATTTGGTCCAGTTGCCCTCAGCAAAGAAGAGGCATGGTTTTGCATCATGGCTTGTAGATCAAGTTTTGTTGGAGAACTTGAGTCTGGGATGTCCCAAGTGACACAAGTTATTTTGAATTGCATCCTGCGCCCAGATTCCTGCAATCCCAAAGAAGCAGGGTTCTTGTTGAAAGATCAGGGAGGGTGTACAATTAGAATGTTTTATACACTGGGTGCATTCTTACAAGATGGATCTGCGCACAAGTACATATTCAATCTCAAAGGTGATGCAGGAACAAAGTTCTGCATATTTTGCAGAAATTTGGTTACTTCAAAGTCTGGATTACTACAAGAAGATGGATCCAACACCCTAGTGGCAGATGAATGGGACCTCACAAGGATTCAGCAATCCACTGACCAAGACATTGCTGAAACAATATCAAGACTTGAAGAGAAAAAGGCAACTCTTAACAAAGGAGACTTTGCTTTGTGGCAGCAAGCTGTTGGATTCAACTACAGCATCCATGGTTTACTCCACTGCAGGAGCTTGTCCCAAGATGTTCTCCCAATTTCTCAGTTCATACATGACTGGATGCATTGTTTCTTGGTCACAGGCATTTTCCAAACAATTATGCATTTGTTGCTGGTGGAGCTTGATGGTATGTTTGGCAATGTGTACCCCACCATTGAGCAATGCCTCAGAACCTGGGTCCTGCCAAAGTCAATGACAACACCTTTGGCATCTTTGTTCTCCAAAAAAAGACAGGTTGCAAATGCGAAGGCAAACACTTTCAAATGCACTGCATCTGAAGCTATAGGTCTTTTGGGTGTTTTTGGATACTTTCTTACGCAGATTGTCATCCCAAATGCAGAGCAATCTACAAAGGACAAGTGTCAGGTGTTCTTTGCACTTGCAGACATCATTGACCTGATCCAGCTGGTACCCAAGGGAAAGATTACCCCTGCTATGGTTGACAGAGCTGTGACGACATTCCTTTCTCTTTGCATATCATGTGGTCTCAAAGAGAATATGCATACCAAATTTCATTGGTGTCTTCACTTTGGCACTCATCTCCAAAAACATGGTCAACTTCCCAGCTGTTTTGTCCAAGAAAGAAAACATAAGGTTGTAAAGCGATGCTTGGCTATTTCAAGAAAGTGTTAAGGATATGCAACCTCGATCAGCAACACTTTGACCTTTGAAAAAAGTGTACTTTCAGAGCTTATTTGCCATGACCTTGCCAAGCTGAAGGAACCAAACCTCTTTTCAGAGAAGGCAAGGCTTGTCAACAAAGGTGCTGCAAGCAAGGCTTTGAAAGCCATTGTGTTAAATGCCTTTGAGTTGCCTGCTGACACCATTGTGCACAGCTCTTCACAGGCACACCTCCAACCAGCAGGTATTTGCAGCAAAGGTGATTTTTGTTTCCTTCACAGTTCGACCAACAGCCTGCAAGTTTGCCAAGTCTGGATGCATGTGGACATTGACAACATTGCTTACTCTTTGGTTTCCATGCTCGAAGTCCTTCAAGTGGACAAGACTGGATGCTTTGCTACTGTTAGACAGAATGAGATTGCAAAGTTTGTGCATACTTCTTCCTTGGCTTGCACCACTGCACATTCACACTTTGAAAACAAGGACTTCAGAATCCTTGTGCCACTTCAAATGAAGTGAGCAAAAGAGCGCATTCCAGCAGGTTTCAAAACATCCTGGTGGTACTAGTGTGTTCTTGCATGTGTTCTTGCCAGTGTCCTCATGGCACATAGATTTCACATAGCATGTCATTGACTACTTGTTGCAAGCCTGATGGCTTCATGTGGGTGGTTCTCATGCCCCATGCAAGGGCCAATCAGCCAAAGATAGAGTCATGCTACTTCATGGTAAGGTGTGTTCATTTGCATGATCAAGAATTTTGATGCTTAAAGTTTACCTATATTTCACAGAACATGTCATGGACTACTTGTTGCAAGCCTGATGGCTTCATGTGGGTGATTTTCATGTCCCATTCAAGGGCCAACCAGGCCAAAGATAGGTTCATGCTAATTCATGGTAAGATATGTTCGTTTGCATGATCAAGAGTTTTGGTGTTTAAGGTTGTCCATATCAATCAGTGGACATTTGTTGGACTAGCTACTTTGACATAAAACCTGGAGAACAGCTCTTGAGGGGATCTGCAGATGATCCAATGCCAGATGCCTGATAGGCCCAATGAAAGGATCAAGTCCTGGATCTATCATAGAGTGGGCAGGCTCAACCAAAGTGCCATTTGGGAATTCATGGAGGTGCCATTTGGAAGTCCATTTGGGCTAATATAGCTATGCCCCATGCTGTACTGGATTCATTTGGTGGTCAAACCCACTGGCACTCACCAAGTTTAGAGTCCAGCAGAGTGTTCTCCAAATAGCACAATGAGTGATCCAATCTTACACCCATGTCCATCCTCCTATACATACTACACCTGGAACCAAAACCA